TTCACTGGAGAGAGCTCTCTCTTGGAACCCCAACTTCTTTCCTAAGAATTCCTAGAGGGCAGGCATTCCTTGGCACCTTTCAAGGAACAACAGTATCTTCCCTATAAAAGGAACTCCTGGGGAACCTGAGCATGGAGTCTTGTGTATCTGGCTCTCAGAAATAAAGTCCTCTGTCTCCTTCAAGCAACCGACTGCGTGTTTATTCCTGGCTCCGAGATGAAGTTCGTAAGCTTTCTTTCTAACACTTTAGTTACTCCAGAGTGCAGCGGTGCCAGTAGTTATGAGTGCATCTTGTTTTGCCTGTGTAACACCATTACTGCACTGGTTTCCAGTAGGGTTCTGGGTGCAATTCAAGGTGCTGGTTGTCACCTTCAATTACATGGCATAGGACCAGGTTACTTGCCGGACTGTCTTCTCCCAAGAACATCCGCCCACCCCACACAGTCCCACAGGGAGGACATGCTCCAGGTCCCATTTTTTAAATCTTGTCATCTTATGGGAACTAGGAAATGGGCCTTTTCTGTGGTTGCCCCCAATCTCTTGAATGATGTTCACACACACACACTGATACAGGAGGTCCCAAATCTGATTGGCTTCAGGAAAGCTGTTGGAGTCAATTGTGTGGAGACCCCTTTTGGCTGTTTTGTTATGGTGCTTGGTCACCATTTTATATTTTGTATCTTATATTTATATATTGTACATGTTTTAAATGTAATGTGTTTTTTGAGGGGAGTTGTTTTTAAATTTTATTTATTTATCAAATTTATATAGCTGCCCATCTCATGTATGTGCAGGGTGCACAATTTAAATAAAACAATTAAAAACAGCCTTTAAAAACCATTAAAGCAATTAAAAACATACATGTTGTTGTTGTATGCTGCCCAGAGTCACATTGTCTGAGTTGGGCAGTCCTATAAATCTAATTAAAAAATAAACAAACACACAAGAAATACACGTGGCAGCCTTTATACAGGGGAGTTTGGACTCACAGTCATCCTTGTCTGTTTATTGAACAAATTTTTATAGCAGTTCAACTACCAAAAGGAATTCTGGGTGGCAAATAAAATAAAAACACCATATATTAAAAGCAACAATTTAAAACAATAAACTGCGTTGAGGCTACAATCAAAACATACATACATCGACCAACCTCCCCATGCCAGCTCTATCAATCTTGGTCCCAGTGCCTGGGAGAAAAGCCAGATTTTCACTGCTTTCCTGAAGGTCAAGAGGGTTGGGGTCATTGTTTCTTGTGGGGGAGGCTGTTCCATTAAGGCAGGCACCATGACAGAGGAGGATGCTTCCAAGGCCCCACCAGGCCACACTGCTTCACCAAGGGGTCCCAGAACATGCTCACCCTGCCAGCTCTAGTAGGACGGACAGAAACCATTGGGGATAGGCAGTCCCACAAGTAGCCTGGCCCCATGCCACGTAGGGCTTTAAGCATGACAATCAGCACCTTAAATTGCACCCAGAAGCCTACCAGGAGCCAGTACTGCTCACACTGCAGTGGTGTTACAGACATACCAAGGTGTTCCCACTAGTGCCCATGCTGCTACTTTCTGGACCAAATGTAGCTTCTGAATGCTCTTCAAGGGCAGCCCCATGTAGAGGGCATTGAAACAGTCCAATTGGGAGGTGACTAAGGCATGAATGACTGAGCAATGCCCCCCTATTTAGGAAGGGGCGCAACTGGTGCGCATGATGTGCAAAGGCCCTCCTTGTGTAAAGGCCCTCCTGCCCATGACTATCATCTGCTCTTTGAGCAGGACCCAAGAGTGCAGGAGAACTCTAGACTGCACACCAGCTGTGACTGGGGGAGTGTCACCCCAGCCAGAATTAAAGAACTTGTCTTTAATACACAGACTCTAAAACCCACAGCCGCTTGGTCTTGTCAGGGCTGAACCGAAGCCAATTCTTTCCATCCAGAGTCATACAGCCTGCAGGCACTGGGAAAGTACCTTGACAGCATTACTTGAGTGGCCCAGATCAGAGATATACAGCTGAATATCATCAGCATACTGATGGTATGTATATATTTTTAACAACACATTAACTGTTCTATCAGGGCAAACAAATCCAGAATTATTTGAGTATATTCTTCAAGAAAACTAAGAGCCAGTTTGGTCTAGTGGTTAAGGCACCAGGCTAGAAACCAGAAGACTGTGAGTTCTAGTC